GTCAGACTGGCTAAGATCAAGAGAACAAATGATACCAAATGTTGGAAAGGATGCGGGGAAAGGGGAACACTCATCCACTGCTGGTGGGGCTGCAAACTTGTTCAACCCTTATGGAAAGCAGTGTGGAGAACTCTTAAAAAACTATAAATGAACCTACCATTTGACCCAGTTATACCACTCCTTGGCATATACCCAAAGAATTCATCCTATTTGCAGAGACACTCGTACATGCATGTTTGTTGCTGCTCTTTTCACAATAGCTAAGAGATGGAAGCAACCTAAGTGTCCCTCAACTGATGAGTGGATAATGAAAATGTGGTTCATTTATACAATGGAGTTTTACTCAGCAGTAAAGAAAGATAAAATCATGAAATCCACAAGTAAATGGATTGAACTAGAAACTGTTATACTAAGTGAAGTAACACAGACTCAGAAAAGAAAAATGATGCTCTCCCTCATAAGTGGATCCTAGCAACAAATCCTGGTAAGTGAGCATGTATCCTCCACACATAACTACAGGAATCAGGATAATGAAAAGGAACCAGGGAGGTAAAGGAAAAGAAAGGATCTGAAAGAGAAGAACAGTAGGAAACAGGCATTAATAAAGGAGATATGGATAAAAATAGGGATATTTTAAGGGGAGGAGGCAGGGAAGATTATACAAGGAACCTAGGGCATAAAGGGAAAGAAGGAGCTCAAGAGGTGGGACCATAGGAGAAGGGTATTATTAAAGGAGAAGTGGGAAAAATGGGGGCACTTTACATGGGGAAACCATGGTAGAAGGTTTAGACAATGTGAGAGATAAATAATGCCTAGCTAGTTTCAAAAAAAGAGGGAACCAAATTAGTCCAACAACCTAGTGACAAATTATATATACAACTAGATCAAGGAATATAGTATCTGTCCAGGCAAGGTTTATCTGAGAATGTTTGGTATTTGCCCAAGGTTTATCTCCATGGCACATGGTAATTAAAAGTACCAGACTGGTGGAACTACCTTTCTTGGATGTTTAACAGCCATACTTTGAGGCCTATACTAAATTGGCCAGTGGGACATAAAGGACAGTTTTTGCAACTTGCCCTCTTAGGTCGACTAAGTTCCACAGGACTATGAGCATCTCTCAAAATGTCCTGTAACTGTGGTGAGTCACCTGTCCTCTTGATGAAGGAGGCCGTGGAGACCCCATCAGATGGACTTGAACCAGTGGCCAGTCTACAAAGAGGAGGGTCAATGCAGAGGAAACATTTCCTCCATGTTTCCAAGCGAAGCCAGCTATGGTCGAGTAGGACCTTTGACTTATTTTTACATAGACGGAACTGGTAAAAGAAAGGAGCCAAGGGCTCCTCCCAAGCCCATGTGACCCCTGAGGAATAGATCTTCAAACGGTCTTAAGAGTAAAAATAAATTGGTTTATCTGAGCCAACTGTATGGTCTTAAACACCTAAAAGAAAAGTATAACCAAAGATAAAAGGGGTCAATATAGTTTTTTGAGTCCATATGTATAGCTAAAGGCAAGAAACAATGTCAGGCAGGAGATACCTTCCTTTAAGTTGTTGGCCAAGGTGGCCCAAGAGACTCCCCAGACAGTAACCCAGCATAGAACTAGGAAAGTGAACAGCAGATCCCAATCTTTTCTAAAGGAATATTGGCAACTGACTGCTGCTAGATGAGGAAGAGCTCATCTTCCTAAAACAAGGATCTCTAGATAGGCTGACTAGGTTCAGCCGATGGACAAGCACTGGGGAATGGCTGGGGGAGCCGACAACACAGTGGACAGTAACAGGGATGACAGAGTATATGGGATCCAGTGAAGTTCAGCAGATCCCAATCTTTTCTAAAGGAATATTGGCAACTGACTGCTGCTAGATGAGGAAGAGCTCATCTTCCTAAAACAAGGATCTCTAGATAGGCTGACTAGGTTCAGCCGATGGACAAGCACTGGGGAATGGCTGGGGGAGCCGACAACACAGTGGACAGTAACAGGGATGACAGAGTATATGGGATCCAGTGAAGTTGGGAGGAGGCTATGGGAGGGTGCCTTTTGGGAAGTGGGTATATAGATGAATAGGACTGTTTGGGATGTTCTGTATGATATATAAACATAAAAAAATCAACAAATAAAAAATGAGTTATATTTGAGGAGGAAACAAAAAAAAATTTACTTCATGTTAATTTGTATAGGTGATAAATACTATCATTGAAATCTATTTGACAACTTTTATCCATACTCAGGTGCCAAGGACTGGACTGTAACCAACTGTGACTAGTAATAATAGGATACATAGAGATTAGAGATCCATGTGCAAATATCTAATTGTTAATAGCATTAAAAATGAGTTTGTCTGTAGGAAACAGTATATTTTAAAATGAAATGGAGATTTTCTTTAAAGGTTAAAAACTCATTCAATTTTAGGTCTTACAGGGTTTATACTGAGTTCAATACTGTATAAGAGTATTAATTCAACTGTATACCAAAAAACTTCAAGCCACCTTTGAAAGAGATGTATCTTTGCTCGGGAAATTGTTATTGAGTATGTTAAAACTGTAATGAAATGTTTCTAACCATGTGGTTATTAAATAAAAAATTATAATAGTAAAAGTTCTTATAGGCAAAAAACAAACAACAACAACAACAACAACAACAAACAAACAAAAAAAAAACCCAAAAAAGAAAAAAGAAGCCGCCACTAGAAAGAATTAATCTACTGTAGGGATTGAGTCTGAGGCTAGGGAGAAACCTGTTGGTATGGTCTTTGTATTACTTGGTTAAAAACGAACAAAACGTATCATTTGATTGAGAAATGTACAGTCATTAAAAAAATACCTTCATATAGGCAAATTCCTTCATAGCAGAGAGACGAGATAAATAAAGCCAAGAAACATTATGCCTGTGCTTATGGTAATCACGCTTGTTTTTCAGATTTCGAAAGGAGGTTCTTCCTAGCCTATGAAGCTTCAATGCAAACTGCCGTCCTTCTTCATTTGCGACAATGTAAATATCTAGAGCAGAGATTTTTAAAAGCATCATTATACTTTTACTGCAGTAAGTTAAAATAGTTCTGACTTTACTTGCCTTTATTTGTACCTGCTGTCTTTCCTACCAGTGATACCTGCTTGGCAAAACTTTTCATGTTAAACGACAATCCAAAATGTATTAACATATAATCATAAAAGAAAGCAGAGATACACTGAGCCAAAGGTTACTACTTCCAAAGATGTGCAATGGTGGTATTTATCATTATGTCAAAATAATCATACAACATACTGGGGAAACATCTAAAAACATCTAATTTTCTCAGTGTCTAGTGACCACCCTTTTGTGCTAGGGACTGAACCAAGGCTTTGTGCATAGGGGAGGCCAGCGCTCTACCATTAAGTTACACTCTCAGTCCAAGGGAAGCAATTCAACGCCTTCCATTTCAACATGTTTTTCAACTTTTTTGATGACTAATAAGTTAGAAAACAAGGCTGTAAGCAAAATAGTGATCATAATAAGTACTTTGTCAATCAGGCATGGTGGTGCATGCCTTTAATCCCAGCATGTGCTAGCAGTGGAAGGAGGACCTCTGTGCGATGGAGACTATCTTGGTCTATATAGCGAGTTCCAGGCCAGCTGGGACTACAGAGACTCTGTCTTAAAAACAAAAACAACAAAAAGTTCATCGACTATCAAAACAAGCTATCTGTAATGTTGATGTTTAAAACATGTTCTAAGTATTAAGGAAATTATACGCCTATTAAAATTAGGCTGTTATACATGTGTCAGGATTATAAATCAATAAACATTTTAGAGGGAAACTTGGTAATATAAAAATTTACATACTTTTTGCCTTATATAGAAATTCCAATACTCCTATATTGAAGCCTTAAACTCCAATGTATCTAAAATTAACTTTAGATGAGGTCAGAAGGGTACATCTAATTGAACAGAATTGTGTATCAGAAGAGGAAGAGATACTAGTGATACAGAAAAGGCCATGGGGAACACAGCTAGGCCAGTGACGGCAAGACGATGTCAAGCCAACAGGAAGGTTTAAGAGAAAACAAACCTTGATCTTGGACTGATAGCTTCCAAAACTTGAGAAGATAAATTTTGGTTGTTTAAGCTACTTGATCTGCAATACTCTGTCACAGCAGCCCTACCAAGCTAATACATGCTACAAAAATGTGATTTTAAGAAGTATTTATTAATGCAGAGTCACCTGTACAGCTATTCTTTTATCACTATTCACAAAATACTGAATGTAACTCAAATCTCTATTAATTAGGAATCAGCTTGAGAAAATTCATACAATGTAATACCCCGTGATTATCAGAAAGACATATTTACTGATATAAAATGATAGCAAGAGTGACTCACGTAGCCATAAATCAAAATGTAAAATGCAGAGTACTGTTGCTTTCACGTTTGATTACAATGGTATGTGAGTATAAATATTACGCATTAGCATTACTCTAACATTACTTAAATATATACCATAATTTGGATATAAATACAGATAACATAAAAACCATACAAAGATCCATAGGGACCTTCCTTCTTTGGGATATGTTTCTTATTTATTTATTTAGTTAATTTTATGAGTGTTTTGTCTGCATGTATGTAAATTCACCACGTTTGAGCAAAAGCAGCCAGTGTTTTTTTCTTTTTTTTGTCTTCTTGAGACAGGGTCTCCCTGTAGCTCCAGCTGGCCTGGAACTCACTATACAGACCAGGCTGACCTCAAACTCAGAGATGTGCCTGTCTGCCTCCCGAGTGCTGGGATTAAAGGCGTGTGGCACCATGCCCGACGCAGCCAGTGTTTTTCACCACTGAGCCATCTCTCCAGCCCCTGGGGTAGGTTTCTTAATAATTATTTTAGTTCCAAATTTAATTTTGAGTTTTCAATTTAGATAATCTAAATTAGAGGAAACCCTACACAGAACAAAAAACGGTATAAAAAATAATTTATTCTTTACTTATGTCTTCCACATATGAAGGAAATAAATACACCACTATCTGTTCAATCCTGTTTTAAAATGCATTTCTTTTTCTGTGCTGTACACAGATCCATCTTTGCCTTGCTGGTCATATTGCTGTAATGGAAAAGTAAGTCAAGTGGTATTTAGATATCAATTATGTTCTATTACCTCCTTTTAGTATGTATTTTTAACTATCAGAGGTACATAATTTATCAGTTACAAAGTGCAAATAAAATATTTATCAAAGATTCGAGCTATTAGAAGAAAATCAGGACCCAAAGTGCTTACTTATTAGCATGTGTGAAGCCCTGGATTTGATCCGGAGCACCAAAGGAAAAAAACAGGGAAATTCATTCTTGGTATAGCTGAAATAATAGTGATGGACCTAAGGAGAGGACCATAGCCTACTGAACTACTAAATTACTGTCGCTAAATGTAACAGACAGTATCGCTTCTGAACAACTTTCTGTTTATTAAGTGAAAACAACAATAACAACAACAAAAAACCCTGACAGAATGTTTCTCAAAGACAAATACAAACTGAAGCAAAGAGAGTGCCTTCAATAGGACTATTAGTACTTACCTGACTCTTTGCCAACACCCATCTGGTTTCCAACAGACTCAACTACCTGTCGAGAAGAAAGCGTTTTCAAAGCTAGGTAATCATAGCCTGCATTTGTCAACCGATAGCCCTGGACAGCTAGAAAAAAATAAAGTAAGATATTTTAGTTGTACTGTAGCAACAAGACACATCAGTTAAAGTCATAAGCATTTAGGAAATCTTAGGTGGAAAAAGAAAAATTACTCAGACTTGTAAGTTCCCAATTTCTTACTATAACTGGCATATCTTTTTTACTGTAGAATTACTTAAAAGTTTGATTCACATACAGACACAAGGCTGAGTCTGACAAGATCAACCTACAGAATAAAAGTAAGTTCAGAACATTTTATAATGATCTATTAATTTATAATGTTTTGTATGTAACTGTTATTCTCTTCATTTTTTTTCCAGTAATTACTTTTTAATTGTGTTTTATAAAAGAATTTTTTTGTGGTCTTTTTGAGACAGGGTCCCCTGCAGCTCCAGCCGGCCTGGAACTCACTATGTAAACCAGGCTGGCCTTGAACTCACAGAGATCCACCTGCCTCTGCCTCTTGAGTGCTGGGATTAAAGGCGTGTGCCACCACACCCAGCTTTTATAAAAGATTTGTGACAGGTTCCTTCAAGAGCAGCCAGTGCTCTTAACCTCTGAGCCATCTCTTCAGCCACTTGTGACAGTTTTTTTTTTTTAATTTTATTATTTTTATTTTATGTGTATGCATGTATTGCCTGCATGTAGGTAAGTACACCCATGTTGTGCAATGCCCGCGGAGGTGAGAAGAGGCTGTCGGATCCCCTGGGACTGGAGTTAGTTTTTAGCTGCCACGAGGGTACTGGAATTCGAACCCAGGCCTTCTGTAAGAACAACCAGGGTTCTTAACCACTAAGCCATCTGTTCAGCCCATGACAGGTTTTTTTTAACACCTGTCCTTCATCAAAGATTGTTTGAGAAGCAGTGATTAGAGTTCTGTGGCAAACTGCGTTTTCCAAAGGTGGTAGGAGCAATATAACTGTCCTGCTAGCTCTGCAGTGTACGTGCTACTTTCTCCACCCTCTTTGATCTGGATGGGCTCTGTGACTGTTTCTGCCCAGTTCAATATGGTAGAAGAATGTTCTAATCTTGATCTAGTGATTTGTAAACCACACAACTTGTGCATGTCATTTGAAGGACTGCTCTGAAGAAAGCCAATTATCTGAAAGTTCACAAAGAGTACATCAAAATACTTACTTTTGGTACGTTCCCAAGCTATAAGCTTATGTTTCACTAATTCTCTTAAAACTTTATTACAGCCACCATGTTTCAGGCTGGCTATAGAAGCAATCAAACTGCAGGGAACAATCTCATGGTTCTTCATGCCCATTTCAACCTGAAAGTAAAGGAATCATCATGATCTAATGGACACAAAGCCTTAGCTATCAAAACCTTGCTTAGAAACTAACTTGAAGCTTTCCTAAGTAGTCTTGCAGCTACAGTTACATGTGGCATACCAGAAACAGATTCTGAGAAATGCACAGGTAGGCAAACCTATATAGGATACAAAGTATTGATACATACTGTCACTAGGCAGTATGATCTTATTATTGAAGATACATTTTGTGGTCAAGAGAAAGACTGTTAAGGTAGCTATGACTAGAATTCCAGGACATAATTATTCTCATCTCTACCATTTTCAATTATAATTTGATAAACATAGGACTCACTGATATTGTCTCTCCACTTCAACATTAGACACTCTCTGAGTGCTTGACAAGTTAATGATGCATGCTGATACTAAAATACTTAACATATAAACATTCATCTTAAAGAACTACGATACTCCAAATATTTATTAAACAGGTACTTAATGAGAAAGCACAGTATGTAGCAGGGACTGTGTTAGCTACTAGAGAGAATTAAAAAGTATACAGTAGAACTCTTTACCCCTGAAGAATTAGAAGCAGCAGTGCAGACACAAGAATTCTAGCTGAGGGATCACTTTCAAGAAAGAAGCAAGACTTGAGATGAACTTTGAGAACATATACACAGAGAAAGGAAATCAAAGCCTATCAGGCAGAAAAAGTTTAGAAATGGTACCCATGCAAGAAAGCACTAAACACAAGGAACAGTTGGTATAGTAGTAACTGACATGTGATGGCAAGTAGATGGCACGCAAGTAAAGCCAGAAGGCACTTCAAACAAAAGGCCAAGGAGTTGTATACTAAGGAAAGTGGAAAACTCTTAAAGATGTTTTGACAAAAGAGATACGTATGAATTTAGATGTAAGATACTAATGTAGTAGGAATACAGAAATTAGCTTAGAGAAGACAAAGCTGGAGGGAATACACTAGAGAACTACATAGCATTCCAGCTGACAGGGAAAAGGAGCTTTCGAAACTTTTACCTCCTTTTCCATGTTTCGTCGCTGCCTCCCAAAGCCTCCAATACTCTTACTTTTGAGACGAGGTCTCCCTGTAACCCCAGATGGCCTGAAACTTGCTATGTAGACCAGGCTACCCTCAATCTCACAGAGATCAGTCTGCCTCTGCCTCCTGAGTGCTGGGATTAGAGACCTTCATTATCATGCCCAACCCAGCTCTTCTTGACAACCCTATTTCTGTCAAAGACACTGAGACATGAGTGAATGTGCTAAGCATAGAATGAAAGTACTTAATTCATAAATGTTACCTACTTAAAACTAATTCCCAAATCCTTGCATACAACGGCTTATAATAATCAGTGGGACTCACATCACATATTCCATTGTGTAATTATATAACACAGTAACGGAGACCATTGTGTACCAAAAGACATTGGCTCCTAAATAAACGACTTATTATGTGAATCTTACATCTATGTATTCATCTCTGTACCAGAAGATGAAGGCTAGAAAAACTGATGCTCTCACTCTAATTAAAACGTTCAGTGGCTCAGAGACACATAGTTTAGCAGGCTGTAAGGGGCTACATAATTTGGTTCTCGGCTTTTTCACGAAGTCCCCAACTATTAGATCTGCTCACACTGGCATTTCCTTTCTTTGAAAACCATTCTGTCTCGGCTTTTGCTCTTCAGTGTTACATTCTTTGGTTCCAACTCTTTCCAAGGACATCTCTGGGGTGAGTCTTTCTAGTGTGACTGCTATGATCCCCTCAATCATTCTGTCTCCTACCTGACATTTATCTAATGCCTGCCAGCGGTCAAGGGAAAACATGAACACACCACCAACTTTGTAGAGTTTGATTAAAAGAGTAAACAGGTAATATGTCTGGATCCAAGGAGTTTCTTTGATACAATTCAAAGACAGTACTTTTCTTCACTTCCGACCACATAATACGTTCTATACCGTTGGCCTTTTTATAATACCTGACATTATATTAGTAACTTATTTACCAGTTTACTTGATGACGGTGGCTATCGCCTACTTTTGACTCTTTTGAATCCTGCTGAATCGCCTAAAATTGCGACCAAACCGTGGAAAATATGTTTTTCTGAATGACCGGGGGAACATTATGCAGCTGGGTCTATGACTGTGGATCTCAATGCTTTCTGCCTAACAGATCTCCTTTGGAGGCATCTTAAACCCCTCTCGCTGGCTTCCAGGCGGAGGTTCAAAGAAGCTTTCCAGGCCACAAAGACGTGAGCGCCTCTGGAGCAAGAGAAGCAGAAAGGACCGCAATGTTTGGAAGAGGGAGGCTCTGCTTTCATTAGGGGAAGATAAGCTCCTTCTCCGCAAAAGTTTCAAAACAGATTCTGACTCCAGTGCTCTTCCCCAGGTTCCAGCCTAGGCCACGACCGTGAGCTAAGCGCACCCACTGAGCTTCCAGCAAGCTTAGAGGAACAGGGAGAGGACACCATGGGGGCGGCTAAGCGAGTTGAGTGGGCTTCCTACCGCGGTCAGGACCCTGAAGTCATCACGGCTCATGTACCGTAGCTTGGCCACATTCACCTTCCCCATGCTGGTTCAACCCCAACACGGAAATAGCGCCTTACTCCGGGGAGAGAAACAGGGCTGCTGGGTAATCTTGCGATTACCAGTGAGCTGCGCAAGCGCTATGTGTTCAAGGTCCTTGTTACTAAGCAAGAACACGTTTTACTGGTGCTGGAAAGCTCTGCTTTCGGTGTCTTAGGAATCACATAGCATGGCACAGCGATCTTTCAGCTTTTCTGTGATTATTTTACTTTTGATTAAGTTGGCGCGTTGCAAATGTTCTACACAACATGTCATGTTATTTTTCAGAGCTGCCAGGACCTGGATCCCAGAAGACCTCCGGCTGGAAGGAGCTGGAACGCTAAAGGCCTGGGTGGAGCAAAATGTTTCCCACCTCAGGTTAGGGAGGGAAAAGACTCCAGGCATCGGAGCCTGTGGGATGTCTCAAGGCACCAAGCCTGTGGGACGGGGGGGACTGCGATGCCCGGTCCTCTGCGGCCTGGCCTGCCTGGCCCTGCGTTAACTGCACTCCAGCGCCTGCGCGGCGCGAGGCCTGAGCGACCCGGCCGGCTGGGATGACAGAGCTAGGGTGGGGTGGGGTTGGGTTCTGGGGACAGGTGGAACCCGGCTGCTACTGTCATGTTTGCTACTTCCCCGTGTGCCTTTACAAAGGACTTGTTCATTTCGATGTTTGTAGAGGGCCTATTGATAAAACTTGGAGGGTCCGGGAGATGTTGAAAGGCTTTACGGGAACTTACACTTGAGCTGCAACTCCTCCCTGTGCCAAGGAAACCTGTTATCTTTGCACTCTAAACACTATACCCAAGACAAAGATGCCGTTCCTTCCTCTTTACAGCAGCAACACAATAACAACGGAACTTGTGTGACGTTGCGTTTCTTGTTTATGAACTGTATTTTAAAACTGTAAGCAGCAAATATTTTGACGTGTTCGTAGGTTAAGCGTAGATACTATTTATCACACAGGATTACGATCTGTTTTATCCTTGACCTGATTCCTCTTCAGTACAGTCTCCAAGCTTTGCATTTAAGTGTTGGAATTCAGTAACTGAAGAGTTACTTCCACCGCCTATCGCCTTTCCGGTTTTTCAAGGACCAAAGTAGTAGTTTCCTCTTCAAGAGTGCGCTTTCATAAAGCAGGCTTTAGATCTTGGAGGCAGACTGCAGACAATGCTGTCCATGTCTTTGAAGCTAGAGTAATTCTCAGAAATCATAGACTAGAAACGGAACCGTCTTCTGTCGTGTCTATGCCCTTGCCATTAGCATTTTGTGTACTTGATTACGGTTAACTAACAGACTGCTCCATTTAATGGGATTATGCTTTCTATACTTTAACAATAGATAATGTAAAATTAAAAAGTTGGGTAAGCTACACAGTTAACTTCTAGAGCAAGAATGAGATGGCAAGTGCCATCCTAACAACACTTTTAGAAAATATTACTAATGGATTGTCTTAATGCTTGTCTTAACAGTGCCCTAGACATCCACCACTAATAACTGTATTTGGATAGAATTGTTTTCCAAGTTCTGGAATGTATTAGGGGTAATTGAATCGAATGTGATGGTACATGCCTTTAATCCCAGTACTCCAGAGGTAGAGGCAGTTGGATCTCTGTGAGATCCAGGCCAGCCTGGTCTCCTTAGTGAGTTTCAGGACAGCTGGGGCTACAGGGAGACCCTGTCTCATAAGAACTCCACAACACTAGGGATAATCACATTGAGTCCAGATCTCTCATCTTTTCAATATTAAAAAAAATCTCAGTAATGAAGTCACTTATGAGACTTTTATGAATAAAAGTAAATTATTCAAGTTCTATTTAGCATTTTCCTCTCGCATGCCATACTTAGTGCTGACTAAAAGTAAAGAATATTCTTCACTCTCACCATTTATCAAATATGTATGCAAATTTTTTTTGCTAGGCCGTGGGGAAAGTTAATCCTAACAAAACTTATGAGGGAGGAATTGAATAAAAACTATTAGTATGTGGGACTGGAGAGATGGCTCAGTGGTTAAGAGCACTGGCTGTTCTTGTAGAAGACCCAGGTTCAAATCCCAACACCCACATGGTGACTAACAACTGTAACTCCAGTTCCAAGGGATCTGAAACCCTCTTCTCATCTCCATGGGCATTGCATGACATGGGCTCACTTACATACATGTTGGCAATATATGCATACACATTAAAATAATAAAAACCAACTATTAGCATGTGACAGAAAAGCCAAGGGCTTAGCATGTCAATTCCTTGTCCCATACCTCCCCACTACAATCAGACACATATATACACCTGGTCCTCACAAACCTAGGTACTAAACTCATTTAGTCTGGCATTCAGTATCTTTAACATTCTATATAATTCATTTTGATCAGCTTGTGATTTTGCCTATATTTTCTTACCCAACTCCCCTTCCTCACTACCTTTCCCTTCTACCTGTGATGCTCTTCACACCTTTTACATTTCTTTTTCCCAATCACAATATAAGGTCTACCTCCGATTCTTCAAGTTGTGTACCCCATAAAGCTTTTACTATTTATATTAACTTCTTAGGTCTGCTGTAAAAAATTAGCACATATGTGACTTAAAGCAGTAGAAATTGATTCTTCAATAGTTCTGGGGGACAGAAGTATGAAGTAATTTTTACTGGGTCAAAATCCAAGTGTTTCTGTTAAGTGAAATAAACCAGACTTGGAAAGACAAATGCCACATGTTTTCGTCTGTGTGCAGAACCTAGATTTTAAATCACATATACTTGTATGTATGTATGGTGTGTGTTTCTGTATGTGTGTAGGTCATAACTCTAGAAAGGGGATCATGAAAGGGGAGGAAGAGCTTAGGGGGTGCGTGGGAAACTGTATTGAAATACATGTGATAAGGAAGCAGAAGGGAGGACTAGGTCAGTGAATAAAATGAATCAGCTTGAGGGGGAGAGGCTTGGGGGTGGACAATGAGATGAATGAGAAAAAAGTATAAGGATACATGTATGAAGAAGTCATGATGAAACCTGTCATTTTGTATGACCACCTAAAAATAAGAAAATAATCATAACCATTGGCAGGACCAACATAGACAAGACTAAGTAGAAAAACATAAGACGGGATATACAGGAATGGACAGGAAATACGAAGCCCTTTGGATTGCACTTAACACTTTCCAAAAACCATCCAAAACAGAAAAGGCACTAAACAAGCGATAGACTAAAACCTTGTCAAGTGACTACAATCAGCCTTTGCCATTACCATCTGCCACTTGTATTGGCACCAAATAGCCATCGTTCTCAATGATTCCCTTGTATTTTCATCTCAAAGAGCAATATTTCCATCAATGGGCTCAGCCAGAATTCAGTTGAACAGTAAACTATGGTTGCTATTTATTTCACAGGGATAGAGCCCTGGAAAACATGAAGATGTTAAGCTAAGATCTGGGTTATGCTACCAGACAAGTCATGGAGATTCACAGGCACACCAGCGGAGGGTGAGAACAATCTATGATAGAAAGCAGCTGAGAATAGTGGGCTAATGAATGTCAATTGTGGCCATTATAGCCAAAGCCTGCTGCAGTGATGGAGTTAAAGTTTGTGTCATTAGCCTTCCTCTTCTAAGATACCTGATGAAGATATGCTTACTAGAATTCTGAAGCTTCTAGACCTTAAAGAGGCGGATCCATGCCGTATAAGAGTTGGAATGTTGTACACATTGCATTGCACCATTCAGGTCACCTCTTTAGGAATAAAGTACTCTCACTCACAGTTATGGGGCTGCTCTCAGCCTGTGCTGTAAACTTTAAAATGATGTTTTCCTAATATTCTGGCATTCTCACAAGTTTTGAACACCCCAGTTAGGCACTCATCTGCACCATTGCTTTAAAAGATGTTCCTAGCCGTACTCCTCCTCTGTTTCTTATCTTGTGACGTTCAAACACACCAGTGAATCCCCTCATAACTTTGGTAGTATATATACTCCACTTTTACCTTCAATAAGAGTTCATTGCTTGTTTTCGCTCTACAATCCTCATTTACCTATTTAATCCCTTTCCACTGGCACTCCCTGAATAGAGCTCCACCCCTGAGTGTGTTGTGCCTGCCTCTCTCAGGACCTGCTCTACAGTGTTATTCCATGTTTGCACCAGACTCATCTAAAACAAAACAAGCAAAAACCAAATTCTTGAGTATAGTCATCATTGTTAGAGTGTGATAGAATATGCATACAGAAACCCAGATTATAGCACTTAAATGGTAAATCCTATTGTTCTTAGTCTACAGATGTATACAGCATGTTACTACTGGACTGAATGCTCTAGGTAATTGTGTATCTGAACAAAGAAATGCTTTAGTAAAAACTACAGAGGAGAAAAATGGTACACCTATGTAGAGCTTTTACCATCAGTGGAATTTTCAGGCCTGGAAGTTTGGGTAAATGAGTGAATGATGAATGCCACTTTAGACTTGCTAATCACTGCACACTAGGCTACACTACATTTATTTAAAAAAAACCCTTTCAATAATCAATATTATCTATGCAGTTATTAATCTTGAATCTCAACTTAGACTAAGAAGCACTTGGGAAAATAATAAAGCACTTGTCTAGGTATCTTTCAAGGTTTTTTCCAGGGAGAATTAATTAAAGTACAAAGACCTGCCTAGAATGTGGACAGTACTCGCCCAGAGGCAGAACTGAAGTAAAAGAAATCTTCCCCTCTCATGGTTCTCTTTCTAGTTTCATTACACAAACACACACACACACACACACACACACACACACACACACACCTTTATATCTAGGGTCTATATATGAAAGAGAATATGTACTTTGTGAGTCTGACTTATTTTAGTTATAATGATTTCCAGTTCTGTCCATTTTCAATGCAATTATCATTTCAGTTTTTATGATAAACACAACTCCATTGTGTAGAATACTAG